TGCCTCAGTTTTTACATTGCAAAACGTAAAAGCGGTGGTAGCTTGCCTGATATCAGACCCAAGGTAGGCAAGGTAGTAAATTAAATGCCTGGGCCTTGCACTAGGTACCCTATTTTCTTACATGAAAAATAGCTAACCCTTATGAATCCTGCTCCTTTCTGCAGGATTTTACATTTGTTTGTTTGTTTTTTTCCCTCTAGTGCTTTTTTTGGCCATTGCATCTGTACATTCTGGGATTTGTCCTTCACGTTGTTGAACTTTGTACAGAGTAACCCAATGTGTTGTTGGAAATAATAAAAAAAGAAGTGCATGATGGGAGACTCCCATGCCAGTGAAGTGACACATGAGTGTTTGTACTTGGCCGGGATCACAGGACATGTTTAGACCCCGACACGTTTCCTGAATTAGTGCAGCTTTGTAGGGACAGATCCTGTACTTTCTGAATGGGTAGAGATGCTTGAAATTCTGAAAACATGAATCATATCTTTGGTGTTTTAAATGCCAAAATGTTTGTCCCCAGTATGAGGCTCTAAATGCTCCACATATAGCTCTGGAACAGTTTGACTGATGTGTTTGAACAGGATGATTATCTTCAGTCTATTTTTAGATGTGCAGTGTGCACATTGCAAAATGTTCCCTACACATTGATTTCAAAGAAAAGTAATTTCAGAGAACCAGACATTTATTGATCCTTCTAGCAGTTAAAAGTACCAAATGTCATTGCAGTAATTAGAATATTTTAAGGTAAAATAATCCTAAGAAATGGTGCTAAATTATATGAAACCTTCAAGAGATTGTTTTCATTGATGATTTATGGCTCTGGGTTTGGAAACCTGGCCCTACTACAGTAATATTTGGTGAATCAACATATTTTTCTCCACTTATTTTTCTTTAAAGTAGTTAGTCACAAACTGTTGCTACAACACGCATAAAAGATTGCAGGGGAGAATTACATGCTCTCACCTTGAAGTATAACATGAATAGACTGAATCTTTTCCAACTGTGTGCTATGGCATTAAAACATTACTTTTAAAGGCGTGTAAGATTTAATGGCCGCAGTGCACTGCTTTATTTTAATGCCCTGCAGTTGTTATGGAAGCATGTGTGACAAACTCTGCAGCAGGTCTGTGCTAGCAGAAACTGGTAACTTACCAGTGATCTGCTTTCAGAAATGTGTTACATAAATGTTAGGGTCAGCTATCTTCAGCTGCTGTTCCCTGATTCATTTATACATTTGTAGAACTGAATATAACATATGTTTCAATGTATTTGCTCAATGAAGGCCATATAATTGTCCTGACCTTTTCCAAAAGTTGTTGACCCACATTCAAGCTCAGGTGAGACATTATGTAAGCTGTATTAACAACTGAATTAAGCGTTGCTGATCATAAGCTAAACAGATTAGGTCTGTTTGGTAAGTAGGCTGCGTGTGTTCCCTTACAGAGTTATAAAACAGCTGCTCTGCTGTGTGGATCACCTGAAGAGAGGTGACAAGCAATATACTGAAGATGTGAGGTTTATTAAAAACACACAACAGATAATGTCACATTGTTTTCCTAAATAATAACAAGTCTATGTTTCTTTTGGCAACCAGTCTATACAGTTTAAAACAGCTGTATGGAAACAATAAAATGTAAACCAAGTACTGACTTCAAGCATTTTATTTATTATCATCAACAACAGTATCAAGTCACAAGAAGAATAAAATGAAAAACTTTTTACATACTAGTTTTTTTTAAACTTTTGGTCATAATAAAAATATACTATACATAGGCAAATAGGAAAAGCAAACTCCATAGACTAAAGGTAACACACACCATCATCAGCACCACATCATCATCTCCGTCTCCAGTGACAGACTTATGTCCTGGAAGGCAAGCTGAGTGGTGAGGGAGGTGAGGGAGGCGTGGGAGGTGAGGGAGGTGAGGGAGGTGAGGGACAGGCGGCAGGATGGTGTGCCGGTGGCAGGGAATGGAGTCTAGGTGGAAGATGATGGATGTGTGGATTATTCAGACTTTCCATTTTCACTGCTTTCGCTGAGTTGTCTGTTCAAAACCATTTCCCTGGCGATGCAGGTCACCTGACCGTTGGCCACTGTGTAGGTTCCCCTGCAACACAGGAACAGGAGTGTTAGTTTCACCCCACAGAACAACAACATTGAAGGTAAATGCAGCTGGTAAACATTTTGTTCATATATTACGACACTCACTTTTGATTTTCAGAGCCGTTCTGCATGCCGGGATGGTTCGATTTTGCAAAGAAAAATGAAGTCCACCAGTGACCAGAATCTTGCCTTGGAAGTGCTGTGAAGAACAAAATGGATGTTAGAAAGAAGCTCAGATTGGTGCAGGGAGACCTCACTTTCCAAAATAAAACCTTTTTCTTACCTGGGTGGTGTGGAATGACCTCCCCTGTGTACTCGGCACTGCCACAGGAGCTGTTGGCTGGAGGCGGACCCCAGGCGTCCTGGAATAAAGATATAAAGACACTTCCTTTTAAAAAAATCCAAGGAGATCCTTTCAAAGACAGAAACTGACTTCAAAAGAGGAAAAATCGAGATAAACTATCAAAGGTGCCCATTTTTGAGATCCACTGAAATGACTACAGTCTATATGCATATAGGCCACTTCTGACTCACTTCTATAGTAATCATGGGTGGCGATGAGGGAGCCACTTGATGGAATTGCTGCCATTTTCTCCGACCTCAGGTGGAAAACCGCTCAAAGATGGAATATGATAACCTGGAGGAGAGACAGAGGACATTTCATGGTATTATTAGGCTGGAAATAAGCAGCTGTTTCTGAGAATCTGGTTTCATGTGACTCAAATAACCAGTCTGTGTGAGAGTATGCCCACATGTCCAGTTGAACTCAGATAGCTTAGTGCACGATCTGCAGGCATGACTGCATGGCAAAAGGTTATTGGTGTTAAGGTGTTCTTGCTGAAATATTGCTGGTAGACGTTCAAGCTACTACTGTGTTCTGCCAGGAAATAATGGATTGCTCTATTACATTGTTTGTAATGACAAAAACAAAATAATGACTACACTCAACCTTTTTGGTGCCTATGTTTTTGGCCTTGTATTCATATGGCAACAAAATAAACAAAGAATAAACATGTATTATTTGTGTTTGTATTTAATTATTCACATGTATTTCAGTAGAATTATGATATCAGCCTGGAGCCTGAGAACCAGTTAAGCTTAACACCAGGGGAGCAGCAGATGGCTTTGGAGCAGATTACACATGTCTAGATAAACTCAGCAGGTGACACCTAAAAAAACCTAACAATGGTTAGAGGGCAATTTGACTTATAACAAGAATTTACTGCATGTGCTTATACAGCAAGTGGACAGTCAAAATATTAAAATATTGACAACTGTGGGCAAAAGCATTCCAGCACAATTGTGAAAAAACTACCTTTGAATTTTATAATGAAGACAAGCGTTGACAGAAAGACACCTAATGGATTTGACTGTTGTAGTACACATTTTAAGGATGGCAACTGTCTTCAAAATATTAGAATAACTTTTTAAATAACAAAACCTTGACTTGTTGAATTATTTTGACCTACCTTTAAGGTGCGGCTGTAAGGTGCGGATGGCTTGAAGTAGAAGAGGTGTTAGTTGTTCCAATGGCCCATTTGTATATGAACTATCTGTGTTGACCCGTCTCGGTCAATTCGCTGCCGGTCTCGCTGACTCTGTGAAGAGACGATCGGCTTTTATAGCGTCTGCCCTCGGAGCGTGCCGCTGTGGCGCGGGGCGTAGACTGTGGCAGCTCAAGGACACAGAACGTGTTGTGGTCCTTTTCGGTGTTAGGACGAGAACTCGGTGACACGTGTCAAGAGGAGGTTTTAATTAATGACGGCAAAGGCTGATAAGGACGTGATCACACCTCCATGTTCGCCAGCTAACGTCAGAGAGCTGCCAGAGTTTTAGGAGTAAGTCGGGGACAAAATGTTTCAGGAACACCTACGTTTTTTTATCAGAGCAAAATAAAAATCTCTTTACATTCCTCTGGATTTTATGCATTTAACGTTTTTCTCCCGGCAAGTCGCAAAACCGTAACGTAGCCTAAGTTATAGCCTAACTACAAACACTTAAAGTTAATAGGCCTACTACTAATATCTTACATAGCACGTTTGAAGTCAGTTTGCTTTACAAAACAAAATAAAAAGACTTATATGAAGTAGAAAGTTTTACTTCATACATATATCAGTCGAACCGTCTAACTTTATAAAGATATGTATACTAACCCGAAGTATCTTTCCCTGGTGGTCTAGTGGTTAGGATTCGGCGCTCTCACCGCCGCGGCCCGGGTTCGATTCCCGGTCAGGGAACAGATATTTTTGTTCGAAATGTTTGGTTGTGGCTTCTTGGTCATTTTGATATGCCAAACACTTACGTAAGAAATAACAATAATAGTCTATCGGATGTCAGAAGTCACATGTAACCACGTTTGTTATGTTCATGTTCCACACTCATAATGTACATAATTTGTGTGCATAGATGTGCACATTTATATTTATGTATGTATATATGTAAATGTATACCTAATTTTATAAGATACTAAATATTTACTTTTCGCTTTTCTGTCGTCCTTTAGTGCTACTTTTATATACTTTGTTCTATTTTATGTTTTTATTCTATTCTAATTTAAATATATGAATATCTGTTTATACCTTTTCTGTGTGTGTAGTGTAGAGGGGGCTACAACTGAATTTCATTGCTCAGTCCTGTATTGTATTGTAATGAAAATAAAGCTGAAATCTGAACCTAATGGTTTTTTTTTTATAAAGTTATAGTCCCTCATAAGGCCTAGGAGATCTCCATGGATTTTTTCAGCTTCCACCTTTTGATTTCAGTAAAAACTGATCAAGTATATAGTAGTAGGGCCACTTGCATCTACTGTCCACCTAGTAAAACAACACTGAAAATACATTTAAAGCCTCTAGCGCCACCCAAAGGCTTGATATGAACTGAGGCCACCACTGAAACATTTTCTCTGAGAACAGTAGGAAATTTAATTAAGAACACAAATCTGAGTAAATAAAGGTATGTAACCATCAATGACAAGAGATAACATAGCATTAGTACAAAAATACTTAATGTTAGTGATATTCTGTTTTGTACATTTGTCAATGGGTTTCACATTCAAATAAAATTACATGTATCCAACATGCAGAAATATAACATTTAAAAATTAAAATACTTTTTTTAAATTGAAGTTTGAAATAATATTCTATTGCAAATTTTATACATTCTATTAGTCATATTGTTTTAATACAGCAGTTAGAAATAACAGTGGACAGATGCACACACAGGAGCAATATAACATTCTTTCATAACTTTACAAGGTATGAAAAATAATTAATTGTGATATGTTCAAAGGGTCCATCTCATGTGCTGTGGCCTGAGGATCTTCTTTCAAACCCAGAGGTGTCTCCATTACTTGACAGATTGCCAGTCACCTTGTCCTGTGTGACCCAAGCAGTAAATAAATGATCAATACTCATATACAAAGTACTGGAAGAACACTGTGTGCCTGCGGCTTTGACAAACTCACCTTCACGTTGCCGACCATTTCCTCCAAAGACTTGAATGTAGAGGAATGTCTGCAGAGAAACGTGACAACAAATTACACTGCTGCTTTTTTCCCCCTGTAAGTCAAATCAAACTGAACTCCAACTAGTTGAAAGACATAAATACAACACTAAGTAGTAAATATAAGAAATGCAGTGACAAACACTCACTGTGTTTTACCTCATAGCCGGCACACTCATGGTGTGGCTCAGGGTGCTGGGCAAGACAGGATGAAAAGGGGATTTGAGCATTATACAGATACAGAATCAAAAAAAAGCACAAAAATATAATCCTTTAATTTGCTCTAAAGTTTATATATATATTGTGTAGGGCTGTAACTAATGATTATCTTCATTATTGATTAATCTGTCAATTTTTTGTCTTTATTGTTTAATTTCATTTAGGGCTGAAAACTTTTGAAAAAATATGTAATTACGATTATATTGCGATACGATTTGCAATATTATAGGGGATTATGGTTTGATTTTTGAGGGGGTTGGTAGCCTGTAGGTATTTTTACACACTTTTCACCTTTAACAAATATTGCACCTCCTGCGATATGAAAATTGCTGTAGAACATAAAATTTTAATGAATTGTTTAATAAAATTTCTATTAATTGTTCAGGCCTTATTTCAATGTGTTTTGTATGAACAAAAAATATACATGTTTGATTTTAAAGCTTTTAAAACTGAGAAAAGTTATTATTTTTCCTTGATAATTAATTTGATACAATTGATTAATCCATTGTTAAAATAGTTGACATTATTGGCAATTAACTAATCAATTAATCGACTAATTAGACTAATATGGTTATTATACCATAGTCATGTGAAGTGGATGATCTTCTAACAGATACCACAGCTGTACAAAGATGAAACTCACTTTAAAGTCTTTTTATATACAGTCTATGTTTAAAGTCACTATATTGTTCTTGTCACTCATGTTCTGGTCAGGACACACACACACACACACACACACACACACACACACACACACACACACACACACACACTGGGGCTCATTCAGCACCGTCTTCGGACCATTCAGCTTCACAACAACGGGCTCAGTTCAGCTCACAGATCTTACCGTGGTGGGCTCGGGAGAGGCAGAGCTCTGTTGGGACAAAGACAGACAACGTCACACCAGCTTCTGTTTCCACATGGATGAGAACAACAGACTTATCAGCTACTGCTGCCGATGTCCAGCTGTACTAGTGTGATTGGATTATCGTTGCTTACCGGCTACAAAAAAACACAAGACAGGAGGTGCTTCATAGTGATACTCAAGTGAATCAGTGGTAGATAGTAACTAAATACATTTACTTAAGTACAAGTGATATATGATGTATTTTTATAGATTAAGTAAATAAAATTAGCCACACCTTTACTAGCTGCAACAAAAAAATTACCCTTACACATTAATGCATCTGTAATTATAATCCATTAATAGAATATTATTCTGAAATGGGCCATTCTGTACTGAGTACAGTTTTATAATATTCTTTTGTCTGAGAATATGTGTTAAATGTATTAGATTGAGATATGGAACCTGCCAACCTGTAACAGTAACTTCAGTTTGCATTTTAAAGCATCTTTCTGACATGTTGCCCCCTAGTTGTGATTCTCTGTTGGTCTCCTGCCTATCCATCTGCCTGTCTGAATTAGACAAAGACAGCTTTCTTTTTCCTACCAGTCACCTCAATGGAAGCTTCTGCGCTATAACCATGAAGAGTTTGGTGTTTTTATTACCAAATGTATTTCACAGACAAAAAACCCTAATATTTCAAGCTAATTTCTTCTGCTAAGTTTGGTTTGTTATGACTAAATAATGATCAGTTTTTTAAAAACTTTTTCTATTCAGAAATTAGGAGGGAGGAGCCAGGCCTACCTCATCTCTGCCAGTCTCCTGGTGAGGGCCACGCCCATATTGGACAGTGCAGAGGACGTCACCTGGCCTGCATGAGAGAGACTCTCCCGTGTCCTGACATATCTACAGGTAAAAAGAAGCAGTAGAAGTCAGAACCTGAATGGGGGGAAGTCTCCTGTTTGCTGTTTGTCACACACAGAGAGCACAAATGTATAAATCCACACACACAACAGAAAATAAACAGTTAACAAACTATTCGTCAAATGCTTCAGGCTAGTCCTGCAGTTGTCTGTTAATACTACGGCTCCTTGTGCTAAGTCGGCTGTAAGGCTATTACCAGGCCATCAATCCTATTTGACCTGGAAAATCCCATCACTTGTTTCTAAGAAGAGATCCCCCTTTGAAAAGCACAAAAACATAGGGATACCCCTGCTCATTGAAATGCAGAACAAATGTTTATTAATAGGATATGATGCAAACATGGTGACCAACACTCACACGCTGGAGTGGCTGATGTCCTCCAAAGTGGCAGAGGCTGTGAGGTATCTAAAACAAGAGCAGAACATGCACAAGTTGGCAGATTACTCAGGCTTAAGAGAGAGACCACGACAGTCATTAGTGCACTTTCCACGCATTTATGTAACCATGACACACAATGATGATGCGCGGCAAATGTTCTGCCAGTGGAGATGTTAGTGTCTTCCATCCAACAGACCAACTATTTAATGTAACAATGACACGTAGAAACCTATACTACCAGTCTAAACATGCAACTTACGGGCCCGAGGTCTGGATGTCTTGCCAGCCTTTGGACAGGTTCTGTTTGATGTTACTGAGAGGACTCATACCCAGCTGCCTCCTGATGTCCGAAGCATATTTTTCTTTGACCAGAAGCACCTGCCGCAAGGTCTGAATTTCATCCTCCATCTATGTGGGAGAAAAACAAAAAGGGTTTCATCAGTGTCAACATTTTAAACATATTTACTTTTTCTGTTTTGTGCGAATAATCCACAGAAGCTGCATCACCTTTGCAAGTTCAATTCGTAGACTCTCTAAGTCCTCCTCGGTTAGATCTGAGGCTGAGCATCCATTATCTGTTATCCTTGTGGAGAGGTTATTGAATGATGGAGCCCCACCAAAACCTTCCAAAGAAGCAGGGGTGAATAAATATTTGATAGAAACAAAATATTAGATAGATAGATAGGTAGATAGATAGATGCACCCTTAAATTCCAGTATGTTTGTGTGTTAATTTGAATATAAATATAATTTTTAGATATGTTCATAAATTCAGTATTCCCTCCGAAACTTTCCAAAGAGGCGTTATTAGAAAATATTAGATATAGTCTTAAATATTAAATAGATAAAGTATGTAACTAAGGCAAGGCATATAACTGTTGCATAAGATATATGTTCGGTTAACATTAGGTATAAGTTTCGAATAAACTCCAGTAATTATGCCAACAGATAACAGTATCGTCGGTTTTATGTTTCATTACAGAGTGAATAACGTTGCACACAATCGGAGCTGTCCTGAGTCCTGAACTCAGCTGGCTAACAGCTAGCTAACGTTACCTGTTGCTCACGGAGCTAACGTTAGCCAGCGTCGACCAATAACGGCAGCATAAACACGATAAACACGTTAGCTGCCGACTAAAACTACCCAAGATATATGTGGAAATGAATTGTAAAACCAATGTGAGGTGGTCTTACCTGGTCGGTCCATTGCTGCCACTTTCACCTTAGAGTGTAACGTTAGCTAGCTAGTTGTGCCCTCCAGTCCCCATCCAGTCAACTGAAGTCAGAGACGAGCAGCAGGCAGACTCTAGCAGCACAGTCAGGATCTCTGTCATAGGGACTGGTGTTGTTTACACTCACACACACACACACACACACACACACACACACACACACACACACACACACACACACACACACACTGAAGCACCATCACCACCAAAATAAAACTAAAGAATGTTCTTTATTTATTTAACCAGACTTTCCTTATAAGGGTTTGAACGTTTTCTTGCACAATATTTTCATCAATATATTTCTGATAATAAGTTATGAATATTATACTATCTTCAAGATTAAATATAGGGTTCAGCTAATTGTTCTTTATAATATCCAATTACATGCATGTGATCCCAAGAATACTTAAAAGTAGTAATACCACAGTAGACAAATACACTGCCATAGATATACTGTACTGTAGTATTATACAGACATAATGGCTCTTTTCACTGTTACACTATAATATATCATAGTAATGGATTGTTCTCACCAGTGCATTATATGTTAGTGACACTAATTTTAACTACTATTTTCCTTTATTGTATATACTGTTGGGAAGTTTAATCTAAAGGCTAAAAATGATTTTATCAGATGAGTATATAGTTTGAATGTAATTAATTTTGTTTGCATGTTAATCTGAATAATTGCTAGTGATTAGCTGTCAAGTAAATGTAGTGATGTGAAAGATGTGAAATTACTTCCCAAGGGGAGAACAAAATCCTCATAACACTCCTAAGACATTATGTGTTGAAAAGTCAGATATGTTTGACAAATAATGTTAGTATACACAATGTGGACTTTTAAGTGGGCGTAAGATGTTAGAGGCAACACATTAAAATTAGACAGTCTGTGGTAGTGTCTAATGGAAACGAAATAGCTGATAACATATTTTAATATTACCAAGGAAATCTATTCCTATAGACTTAAAATCTGAATGGTTTATGTAAAGCACCTGTAATGTTGGTTATACAAGCTTTTCTTTGAACTGAAGCTGTAGTAGCGTCATACAGAAAGGCATCTGGATTCACAGAGAAAGGAGTAAAACAAAATGCCATTTGAATTGTTTTAATGTTGTAAATTCCCATTTATAACTAACATCCCACAATGAGATGGTAAAATGGCTTGTCTCCATCTGCTGGCAAAACTTGACACCACACTGCAATGATGAGTCTCTAGAAATGAACAAAAAGTTGGCTTTTTTTAGTTTTCTGTTGCCATTGCATTAACCAGGGTCCCTGATACATTCCATCATGTTACATTGAGATAAACAACAAAGCAGCAGTAAATCGAGACATTATGTAAATGTAGGATGATTATTTAGGAATGTGTGTGTAGCCCAGTACTTGGTTTACTTACATTCCTGTGTATTTGAAACCTTTGACAGTGAATAGATTATCAGTTGCATTCTGCCAAATGATATAAATGAGAATGAATGCAATGTAAAAAATATAGATTACAATATTTCTAATTGTAAAAAGTGCTGAATTCTGACCACAACTAAAAGTTATACATACACCGCAATTAAAGTTCTGGGGAATAGAAACAATTTCACCCTTTCTCAGAGGTGGAGGGTCCGTGTACATTGAGGCACACTGGTTTCACACTCTTAACACATTGGAGCCTTTTGGCTTAATTAAGATGTTTCCTCTAATTTATTACACTTGATGGATGCATACTTGTACTTTTTACACTTCTAACTTTGTAACTTTAAGATACATCTGCGTTCTTTTATTTCTGATGTGATTATACTGTACAGGGTGTGGCACTTGGATGTTGGCTATGGCAAGTCCCAGCCTTGGATCCATTATGCAATAGATTTGAAATCCTGTTCAACCAAATATTGAATGACAATTGTATACTCTCCTAGGTTGACAATACATGTGTTTGCCTTATGTCTGTGCCCATTTTGACTCTGATGCAAGGCACAGTAGTGTTGAAATGTCTTTCTCGTTTGCACAAGCTAATTAAGTTATTTATTACCCCGGCCTTTCTGTGTGGAGTTTGCATGTTCTCCCCGTGTCTGCGTGGGTTCTCTCCGGGTGCTCCGGCTTCCTCCCACTATCCAAAGACATGCGGACTACGTTAATTGGTGACCCTAAATAGTCCTTAGGTGTGAGTGTGAGCGTGAGTGGCCCTGCGATGGACTGGCGACCTGTCCAGGGTGTACCCTGCCTTTTGCCCGATGTCAGCTGGGATTAGCTCCAGCCCCCCGTGACCCTGTGTGCAGGATAAGCGGTTGATGATGGATGGATGGATGGATGGATGAATTGTGTTATATCGTTGTAATTTGATTACTTAATTATTATGTTGCGAATTGTTTAATATTTGTTTTAAATCCATGGCAGACTGGGTTGTATGTTTATGTGCAAATGTGCATGCCCCATGCTTCTTGCCACCAATGTGCATGTCTTTTGTCTTACTTTGTATGTAATTTTGTGTTGAACTCATGTCAGATCTGAACCTTCTCCAAACTGTATAAACTGAGAGTGTTACACGAACTACGCCATGTAGTTATTATCCTCACATGAAATACCTTGAGAAAGACACATTGTTCAGGAACATTTATTCAACAACAGCAAATCAGATCAATGATCCACTTGTTTTCCTCCACACACACAATTACCATGCTACAACATAAACGTTAAGGTTTATACTTTATATGGGACAAGTGTATGTACAAGCGACCTTAACCATTAAACCATTCCTTGCTAAATTTAATGGTTACATTACAACACCATACCAGTTGAAATTATAGCCAATCATCATTTGAAACATGACAAAGTATGAAATAAATAAAATTCCCAAAAATGCATCATATAACCATTTCACTATAGTTACACTATATACTATGTTGTCTTTTTATGGAGTCATTTCCTGATCATTGATCCATTATAGTTTTTTTAAACACACAGTGCATTCAACTTAGAACAATTTACAGTAGCATTTTTCAGTATCTCAATGAAAAAGCCATGACAGGAACACCTATGCTTCATCAAGGGTTACAGGAAACATCATACAAGGGCCACAGAGGTCAACATCCATACCATTAATAGCAGAGGGTGGGCAACAGGGGCTCACCAATTGTAAACCATTGAAACACATAATCAGTGGTAAAGATGTTCATGGCAATTTATGGCAATTTGCAAATGTGTGGCAATGTTTGCAAATTCAGTAGTATGAAAAATCTAGAGTAATTTTACTAGGAGCTGCCTGTAGCACTGGTTCACAGAAGATATGCCTTATAAGCTTCTTACTCTACATGGATTCAAAAAAGTCAACAATGATAAACGATCACAGCATTGGACAAGATGTCAGAGTCATCAGACTTCAGTTCAAAACACAAGGACTAAAAACATAATGGAAGTCATATTCCTCCCTATCTAAAATATTCTCACGTGGATGTCAGTTTTATTTCCCAGCTATGACGAGTGTAACATGTTTTTCTACATCACATTAACTACTTAACATATTCAAGACAGCTCAGAGTTAAAAACATGTCACCCTCTGAACCAGGGCTGCTGCTGCTGCTGCTAGAGGTCTGATTTTTCCACCTATAAACAGCTCTGATCAGAGCCAGCTGCATTACCTGGAGCTCCTTGGCTTCATATAGCACAAGATCAATAAGTAAACAAAAAAACTGCAATAATTGGACGAAATTAATATCTTTCAGCCTCAATTGGTATAAACAAACAAACAAATAAAAAAGAGCAGACAGCAGAAATTCATCATATTATACCAGTAACCTCGATGCTTTACCATATTAAAATAAAATGTCCTCCACTAATGAAAAACTACAATTGTCAATTATGAATATTCCTTTAAAAGTATAGTTTTTTAATCTATGAATTCAATTTTAACATTTTTTATTAAATCTGATGTAACTCCTGACATGAAAAAAAAAATTAAAACAATGTTTGGCTGAAAACAACACATCAACATAAAATCATAACATCATAACTAATCCACTAGGGCTGAAACGTGCCACAAGAGATGCATAATGCAAGAAATTATCAACCAACGTAAAAGTTACCTTGACAATAACTGTCACGATGATGTGTTCAGCGCTGGAGGAAAAACAGGAAGAATGGACTGAAATAAAGCTGAGGCAGAGGAATGAAAAGCCAATTCTAATTAATAACTAAGGTAGAAATGTCACGTCAGCAGGCATTCATGAAGTAAAGTCTGCAAATAAAGCTTTGTGCCTTAACAACCTCAACAACAAGTCATGTTAAAAACACTCAGGGGAGCACACTAAAGATACACAAACACAGTGCCAAAGATGTTCTGTAGGTCTGATGACGGCAGGTGGCATTTTCAACAAAAATAGAATTGATTGCAAACAAGAAGTAAAATCTGCTCTTTAATGATGGCACTGACCACCTCTGCAAATAAACACACCTCTCTAACCAGCACCTCCCTGAGCCATGGCTCTCCTTTCCTTTAGCATAAAATATCACGTAAACTTTACCCCAATCTTCTCCTCCTCCCCCTCCTTGTGAATTGTCCTCATTTGAACATATTGCACATACATATGCACTCACTTTATGAGTATTGCAAAGTAAAAATGCAGCTAAAGATAAAATAAAATTTGGAGACCATGTTTTATAAACAGTGCATGCTACACCATGATGCAAAATATGGGAGAGGGAAAGTATGGCAGGCGACATGTGTGGTTAAAGGCCAAGAAATACAAAAGAAGAAATAAAAAGGAAACAATTTAGTTGTTTCTCTTTTCTTCTCGTACTGGGGGAAATAAGTTGTGGACCAATCAGGGAGGGGTGTAAGGGGTGTGATGTTATTAGTTCCTTTCATGGGCCATGCTTACTAGTCCCTCTCCTCCGCATTAGTTGTCTTTCGGTAATGGAAAGATGGATTGCCCCTTTCTTTCATCTCACTGAAGTGGAGCAGGGAAGCAGGCAGGACCGCAGGCCAGGATTGATGGGAACGGAGGGTTAGTTAAAGCCGGTGTCAGTGTGGTAGGAGTAGTGCCCATCCGATGTTAACTGGGTTGTCTCTGTTGCTGATGGTTGCAGCATTATAGGGTCACCCCCAGCCTCTGCTTGACAAACAGAAACAACATATTTCAGTGTTTGCATTGAGCCCCCCTCCCTCCTCCTGTTAGTAACCCTAATATTCAAAATGGGACTCAGGTGATTCAGTCTCACCTCTCTCGTCAGATTGCAGCTGAGCCTCCAGGTCCTCAGGGGACACGTAAAATTCCTGTTCCTGTCCTTCCCGAGGCCGTGGTTTACATTTTCCACAGCAGCAGTTACAGCAGCAACACAGGCAGCAACAGAAGTAGCAGCCGGTGGCCAGGCCGCAGAATACAAACAGAGCCTGCAGGCAAGCAGCGGAAGTGAGCAGTCAGTGTGTGAGCACAAAATAAGAAAAGTATAACCAATAAAAATGAATCACAGAGCAAACAGTAATGGGCCTAAGCCGTATCTCAGTCTTACCTTTGCCCACCAGCTTGAAAGGACAAAGTAAGTGTTGACATTCTCCTCTCCAAACTGCTCAGCTACATATAGTCCCAGAGAACCATACTTGTCATAAATATTACGTTTTGTGGGGTCATTCAGAATCGCATGGGCGTTGTTGATCTCCTTGAACTTATCGGATGCCTCTGGATTGTCAGGATTCTTGTCAGGGTGGAACTTCAACGCCAGTTTCCTGTGTAGAAAGTAGGCAAAAAACGAAACGAGAGACACTAAAATAAAAACAAGCAGTGGTCTGTGCTGATTACGTCAGGTAAGAGAGGGAAGCCTCACCTGTAAGATCTCTTAATGTCATCCGTCGTGGCCACCTTCTCAACTCCCAACACGTGGTAGAGAGACTCACCAGCGGTGGACAGAGAGCGCTGCCTCTGTTGCTCAGTCATGATGCCTCACGTCCACAAGCTGGGCACAGAAACAGAAAACTAAACGCACTGCTTGGGGCTGTATGCAATGTCAAACCTAGGGAACCAGACCTGCTTTAGACCTGCTTTATTAAGACAGCCTGTTTATCATGATATACATCTGTTAAAAAAGGCCTTTAACTAAAGAGAGGCCTGTGTGATTGAAGCCTCCTGACTGCAGGCAACAGCTGGGCTGTCTAGATTAAATGTCCTGCACAAGCTATACGTGGAAACACACAGCTGTGTTTGAAATATAGGGAAAATAAGTTAACAAGCGACGGGGGCAACACACTGGATTTCTTATATTTTGCTGCTCTAATTCAATTTCTACAATTTTTCAGTGAAATTGGCATCAATGATGTCAATAACAGCCTACTGTATCTGTGACATCTTGGACTACTGACTGTCTCTGCTGCTGTAAATCAGTAACTGACATCCATACAATTAACCATGCTGCAAGAGAAAAAAGATAAAGCCATTCCTAAGAATATAGCTGGTTCCAAATGGGTGTCATCATGACATAAATGAATAGCCACTGGTACATTTGAAGCCTTACAGCTCAATTTAATATTTTTTACCAAAAACGGTCTGTTCTGACAAGCAGGGTGTCAAATTTCCCTCTGATGCGAATCGCATCCCGTTGTTAATGTGTCTATAAGAAGGATTAGATTCTGTGATTTCGATGCTAGGAGCATAATCTACGTGCAAGCATCCTCATCAGCACTGCTATAGCGCACAGCATCCATGTTGGTTTGCTTCCTGGCCTGTACTTCATGCAAGGCAGGGATGTATCGTCAGCAGTAATTTTCAAGGGCGAGGGGCAGTTTTTCGAGGAAAAATAAAAGATCGAAATGCACGTTACAGGCTCACCTTTCAGTCGGCTCTGATGCGCTGCAAAACGAACGATCCCAGGAGGATATAATTTTAGACAGTGTAGCGTGACTATGGCTGCATCTCGCACGTACCCGGACCCTCTCTGGCTCCCACTACGCAACCATGGACAGCTGCAGCAGTACGCAGGCTCCGCCCCCAAACACCCCTTGGCGACCCGACGTGCGCGTGCACAAACGGACTGGGATGATGGGGAGAGGATGCTGGTCCTGGATGCAGAGGCGCGCACCTATTACACCGTCAAGCACGGCAGGAAGAAAGCAACGTTTTGCTTATACAGTCACAGAAACTGTCACATGGTTATTTAAGACCACTTCAGTGATTAGAGGACTAAAAGCAAAAGTCCCACATTATGGGAAATATCCTTATTCGCTTTCTGTTGGAGAGTAATTAGACAAGAAGATAAATACTACCCACAACCATCTAATTAAAGCGCTATGTTTTACATATTTTCTATAATCTGTAAACAAACTGAACTCAAAGTGGGTATGTGTGTCAAACTATATCTTGGCCCTGAGAAATAGTCCAGCACATCACTGCCCATAAAGACCAATTAACAGCTTACATTTTTTAACAACTAAACAAACAAGGTGAACTTTAGAGATAGAGACTTTGTTGCCATTTGACAGAGCCAGGCATTTCCCTGTTTCTAGTCTTTATGCTAGGCTAACCAGCTTAAGATTTACTGTCACTGACATTAGAGTCTTATCAATTTTCTGATTTAACTTTCCACCAGAAAGGGAATAAGTGTATGTTGAAGTGTTCTATATGTTGGGTTTCTAGTCTTTTGCCAAATGCATGACTGCCTAACTGATTTTACACATGACCTCTGCATTAGGGCTTGAGAGATAATATTTTTAACATTTCCATTTAGCTGCTTTGGTTTCAGTGTCCTGGTATTGGTACGGTGCATGTTGGCTCACTGTCACTTTCATGGCTTAAGGGGACACTTGAAGACAACATATCTAAGGCCTGCGCTGATTACAGAATACAGAAGATATGCCTACATGAAATTGAGACCAACAATGGAATCAACCACATTCCTTCACCAGTTGAATGTTGCCTGTCCTAAAAGAGGATGTGCTAATTTGAGATGTGGAAGCGATTCAAGCCACAGTTATTGCCACCGAAAGGAAACATGGAATCCTAAGTGATGTCGTCTGTGCGTGTTCCCACAGAAACAAATCTTTTCTCTGTATAATACTGGGCGGATGATTCAATCCTGACATCAACCATCTGTGTGTCTAATGTTTCAGCTGTTGTCAAACACCTGACCAACTCTTTGGGACAATCTATATACAGTCTACGCAATCTACGAACTGGGGTGTCATGTCTGGATAATCCACAGAGAAAGCAGGGCAGATCCCTCGGGGCCATGAGCCATCCAGGGGCCCCCAAAAGACACTATTTTGTTCCTTAAACCAAACAGAGAATAATTAATATGCAATAGCTAAGGTTATACCACAGCCACCACAGCCATGATTAAGTTTTATTAGTTCCATGTGTTTATTTCCCTGCAATATCAAATGTCTGCCATGAAAAATCAATATTGCTATTATTTATTCATAGGGCAATTATAATCCCCCACTTCTGCTAGACTCCACTGACATATAGGTAAGAAACCCTCACACTGTCATAACTCCCATACTCCCACACATATTACATTATTTATTTTAACTCCTCCTTTAAGCACACAAACTTTGGTTTAACAGTATATTTATGTAACATTTTAATGAAGGATTGAACATCATTCTTCCAAAAGATAGATCCATCACAGACCTACAGCTAAAGTTTCCTTTAAATTAACTGTAACCACAATGTCATTCTCTAACCTTACCTTTTGTCATCTGTGATGATTTCCGTGGCTGAATCATAATCATTTTATTAAGTGTTTGTGGTTGTAATATTAATTTCAGACACAAGAGGCTGAAGTGCATCACTACTCAATGTTCTAAATGGGACTAAAAGCATGTTTTCTTTCAGATGAAGAGCCGATTAAAATACATTTCAAGCAAAAAGAAGAATATGACAGTAATGTTACGTAACTAGCAAATACACAACATATGTAACCTACATTATGTTTAGAGTGTATGGAGAAATTAAAACTTAAAACATGAATGATTTTAGTCCTGTTTAAAACAGGGGGTTGTGGCACATGTCAGCCTCTTAAGGCTGAAGTGAGTATTACAACAACAAACACATGATCCTGACAAAAAACTATTTTCACCTGCCAAAACCTTCTTTTTTTTAACCTGTTTTCAAAGATGGAAAAAAAGTAACATTTTTTTTTTTTTTACATGTTTCACAGGGAAAGATCTCAAAATCTGTGAGAAATCAATTTAGATCAGACTTTGAAAATGGATCCAGATTTGTTTTTTCACACTGTTTTCTTAGGGCTGTAAGACAGTATATTAGGGACATTATAGATAAATTTATCACTTTAATCTCAGAGAATATTTGTTTTCAAGTTTAGTACTTGAATTTCAGAAATCCTTTCTCTAAATAATGCCCTCTCCCTGCCTTTCTAATTTATTTGTTACCTATGACTTATAATATATATAACATAATACGCCTTCGTACTATTTACATCCTCATCAAACCATTCCCTGAACCCTCATGACCTGCATGGAAGCATCTGGATTTGTTACTCATATCACAATGAAACTTCCCAAGCTAAATGGATACCTACACAAATACAAGCTTTTTTGAATTACAATTTTATGTATTTTTTTATTTTTAATATGCAAATGAGCAAGTACCTCATTAAATGTGTGCTGATTTGCATATCACAAATCCATTTTCCAGCATATTGGTAGGGGTCAGATGGATCTTTTTTATTTATTGTGATAATATACCAAAAGGCCAAACATTTACAGAATGCTTTATCAAAATATAATTTTTTCATGGATTGATTCAAAATATACCAGTCATGTGGATTATGGACTATTTCCCCCCACGTTTACAGATAAAATACTGCATAAAATGAGTATGATAAAAGATATTTAAAAAAATTTCTGGCTCGCTATAAGACCTAAGAAATAGTGTGTAAAATCATGATAGATATGTGATATATGAAGTAGCCAACATTGTGCTCTAGAAAACAAGCATTCAAATGATATATTATTCAATATGGACAGTTTTAAAAAGACCACTTGAACTTTTACATGGAAAATGAAAATTAACAAATATGCATTTTAAGCGGCCTGCGGTTAACAGACTGGGTATAACAGGCAAATAATAATGCTTAAATGTATATTATTCCAGATTGTTTATGTATTTTACGAAAGTAGGCCCTATGGTAATAATAGTTGCAAAATGGAATCTGAAAATTCACAGATTAAAGCAAAATTATGATTTTGGACAATGGTGTCTCGTCTTAACTTAACAGATATATAATATCGATAAACTATATTAAAAAAAATCTATCAGATTGGATTTCACCGATTCGCTGCACTGACTGTTGTTCCTCGGCAACCGTGATGTCACCGTCGTCGTCCAATCGAAGAGCTCGTAGGACTGACTGACCTATCGCGAGATTATCACATTAGCTTGGTTAGTTAGCTAGCCGCGAAAAGCTTGAGCTTGACTGTGTACCCGCAGTTTTACAGTTTTATTCTTCTTAACGCACAGAGAGGGCTTCGCATTTTTGTTTGATTATTGATTCTCACACCTGTAAGAAAGGATAATCGCCGCCCGGACCTTGTGTTTGCACGGTAAGTTGAGTAAACAGTCTGCTAACTAGCCATGGCTGTTGCCCTGAAGGAAATGGGTTTGTTTTGGAAGCCTCGAAGAATTTCCAAATGATTTTTTATCAGTGATAGCAGGCGCTCAAACGCTATTCAAGTACATACATATCGTGTCTATTGTTTTGATATTAATTTGTAATTTTTGTCAGTAGCGTTTGTTTTCCTTATTTTCGCTTAATCCTTAATATCGGTCTCTGTGCGGCTGTAACGTTCATGTAGGTACAAACTGTGACCAAGCTGTGTCAGTCTTGCTCACATTTCGCTGTATTTCCAAAAATCCAGAATCCCAATGATGAGTTATGCTGAAAAGCCAGAAGACATCACAAAAGAAGAGTGGATGGACAAATTAAACAATGTTCATATACAGAGGGCGGACATGAATCGGCTCATTATGAACTACCTGGTGACAGGTGAGGCATGCAGCTTGACCACAGTGATTGTGAGCTTAAAACGACTTGTGCAAGTCAAAAGACATTATTCATAACTATCCTGCTGTATCTCTTTCACATGTTCCAAGAGGGATTCAAAGAGGCTGCGGAGAAGTTTCGGATGGAGTCTGGGATCGAGCCAAGTGTGGACCTGGACTCCTTGGATGAAAGGATAAAGATTAGAGAGATGATCCTGAAGGGACAGATTCAGGAAGCTATTGCACTCATCAACAGCCTACACCCAGAGCTGCTTGACACCAATCGATACTTATATTTTCATCTGCAGGTACATTTACATATACCTTTGTAATCGCTGTCAGTAGTTCTGATTTTTAGTATGCGCCACTGTGAACTGGAAAGTAGCTGGAACCAAATTATGCAGATCATGTTAGTTGTAGACAGCGGATGTTAGCCTCAGATTTATGGGGTGAACTTCACAGACTTTAGAAATGAACAATAACAAATCTTTTCTTAACAGCAGTGAGAATAAGGCACAGAAACACTATTGAAGTGTAGTGAAAGTTAGGGCTGGGCAATAATACAATAATCATAATGATCCTGATATAATTTTCCTCAATAACAGTATAGCAAATGTTCAATAAATGTTTGATTTTATTCATTTGAATCATGAATGAATAAGCACTTAATTTTTTTATCCAGATATTTTTTGCTGAGGGACAAGGGACTTAAAAAATATTTTACTAATGTATATTTGTTGAAAAAAGATTTTATAATTGTTTTGAATGTTCTACCTCAGATTTTTTAAGTGATCAACTGTTTAGCATCAAGTGTTTTTCATGTTCTGACCATAAAAAATAGTTAAAAACCACAATTAACCGTCTTGTTTGTTCAACTTTCACTCAGGTGCAAAAATCAGCTAAATTAACGTGATAATTATCGATATAGGCTGAAATAACAATTTTTTTGTCATGATAACAGTTTTTGACCACATTGCCCAGCCTAAGTGAGAACTGTTAAAATGTGAATAAACATTTAACCCCCTCCCTAACCAGAATGTAAAACCTGTACCTGATGAAATTATGTTCTTTGTTATCTTTCGGTCTGGTTAAATAGGAAAATATTGTGATACTGGATAAAGCTTGATTTTCAACATTCACTGCTTGTACTTCATTTCCGCTTTTGCAGCAGCAACATTTGATTGAGTTAATCAGGCTAAGGGAGACTGAGTCAGCGCTGGAGTTTGCCCAGACACAGCTGGCCGAGCAAGGGGAGGAGAGCCGCGAGTGTCTGACAGAGATGGAGAGAACACTAGCCCTTCTGGCCTTTGACAACCCAGAAGAGTCGCCCTTTGGAGACCTGCTCAACATGATGCAGCGGCAAAAGGTAGATGCTAGCCTGATGACCAGACTGAACTGTTATTTCGTTTCACTTCACTGTTTCATCTCGTGATTTGAATCACGGAAAAAATGAGAGACGTGGGAGGCAATTTTAGGGAGCTTTCACACCTGAAGTTCAGTACATTTGGAAAAAAAGTCACGTTTTATCCTCTGTAATATTATAAAATGTTTCTCTCCCCTATTTGTATCCTAGGTCCTGTGTCTTTTTAGTTCTGGTCTGTGTCATGTTCACAGTAACTTTTTACATATAAACCCAAAAGCTGTAACCATGATGTTTTATCAGCAGTTTTGTTTGCAAATTGACCACATGTGGTCATTATGACAGAGACGGGACAGAAAAGAAGCATCTTGTACAGCAACACTATCGGGGATATTATTGTGGGATCGTTATTTAAAACACTTTTTAATGGAATTGATGAACTACTATAGTACACAGAACAGGATACAAGCAGTGGTGTTTCTTTCTATTGCTGATCTGAGAAAATCCCCGCCTTCACATGCTGATGTCACTACATGTTGTTGTGTTTATTATAAAATTGCTTCCTGAACAGTTCAGCAAATTATTTAATAGTACATTATCTTTTGAAATAATCAAAAAAAATCACCAATCTACTGTGAAAATACAAAGCTGATTGAGACAAGGGATGGGTATTGTTGTGATTTTATTAATACTACTAGTAGTATTGATACTCCTTTCTTTTTCATTACAAAATAATTGCTTTTAAAAAATGTTATTAAAAAATAATACATTCAGAACAGGGTAAGAATTGAATATTTTAAATATAACGGTTGTTTCTAGAGCAGCAACAGTAATCTTTACAATAGCAAAGTCATTATATAAACTAGGGCTGCTTGATTATGGAAAAAATCCTAATCACGATTATTTGGGATGATTACTAATTGACTTAGGAAACTTCATGCATTTGTTGAACTCTGTTAATATAGGCCTATGCATTGCCCCCCAAATCCCAAATTGCCCATTAAATATAACATAGTAATCCAACATTATTTACTTTAAACAGCGTTTTAGAGGAAAGAAGATGACAGCAACGCAGTGTTTGCCCTAGGTTGACTTCTTAGGGTGAGCGGTTGGGCTGCCGAGGTGTTCCATGTGTGGGTGGGCTTAGTAGTGTTAATTTTGTCAGTCGTTGTAAAATTTAGTCTTAGTCCTGTGTCAAATGTCCTTGTTAGTTTTTGTCATATTTAGTCCACTGTATACTTTTTTTTTTTTTTTAAATCAAGTTTTAGTTTACTAAAAGTCTGGAAATTTTAGTCATTAACCATCATTTTAGTCTTTTCTATCTCATTAGTGTAATTTTGAGTAATATTTTGGTCAATCTGCTCTAACCAATCATTTTTGTCTTTATTTCACTTTATTTCACATAGATAATGTTTTGTAAAATTTGAATGTTAGCTTTGTTCTCTTTTTTATTGCAAAGGAGACATTAACTTACTTCAATTGCCAGGTGGTTAGCCTTGATATGCTGTTTCATGTTCGTAGTGTTTTTAAAAAAAATCACTGAATGATCACTGTTCAAGTGAAAATTTAGAAGGAGAAAATATGACCAGTAATATTTTGTCTCCTCATCATACAGAAAGAAAGAGATTTTATTAATGTTTTTATTTTATGAATTACATTTTAGTCTCGTCATTTTTTGGGAACAATATTGCATGTTAAGATAGTCACAGTCAGTGTTTAAGTACATTGTCACCGTCTCGTCATCGTCTTGTTTTAGTCACGGAAAAAAAGGTCGTTGACAAATATATTTCGTTTAGTTTCGTCTGATGAAAGTAACACTAGGGCTTAGCAGGTGACAGGTTAACTTCTTAATTAGACAACAGTTAACTGTTGTGTTCTGTCGGGAGATGCAGTGACTTAAACCAATGGTGAGGAAGAAAGTATAAATTATATGTGATTCGTTAAGCCATGAGTAGAAGAAAAGTCTTAAGTGTAAAATTTCGGATGTTTACTAAGAAGTTATAGTAGTTATAATCCCCGGTCATCTTGGCTTGAGCTGAACTAAACTTCAGCCTGGCTGAATGAGTTTGGGTGTTTAGGGAACGACCGCTGTAGAGCATCACTGCGAAACGGAATGTGGCGCAGTCATTGTTTTATCTCTTTTCACTTGTTTTCGTAATCATTTGAAGCCAAAATTGTAATTGAAAATTAAATTTGATTAATTTCCCTGATATAAACTCAGTATCTCACTGGAAACCAGAATAAATAATTTTCCTGACATCAAAATACTGAGGGAAGTTTAGAAAGAATGAAAAACAGTCAGTATCAGTCCTTCTTCCTGTGGCTGGTTTGTCTCAGCCAGCAGCAAACTAAGCAAATCAGACTAGATACAGCCAGTTTTTGTTTAACCTTGCACAGCGATCGAGCTGTGCTTGTGTAAAACATATTGGTGGTGGATGAGAGACTGCAGACCGAGCAGATTAAAATATCGCTGTTTACATGTTGATGCTTGTTGAACAAGTGTTTAGGCTTTTTACCTGCAAAGGTTTTATTGCACGTACTTACAGTAACGAGCGTAGTTGTTGTCAACTCAAATAATATTGGAGTTATCTTCACTTGACCTGGTTCACTTCACTGTCTCCACCGTGGCTTCTCCGACTTTGCTCTGTGTGTGTGTGTGTGTGTGTGTGTGTGTGTGTGTGGGGTAGTGCCAATAAAAGAACCTTTAATGTTGGAGCAAGACCCTCCCTCTCAGTGTTGTTCAATCTGCACTAGAGATCAATTGACAACTTTTACACCAGACTGGACCAAATGGGCAAAAGCACAAGGGTTTGAACTGAAACCAAACCGGTTAAGAGTGAAAGCACCCTTAGTGGAAACAGGCTTCTAAATTTTTGCTTGTTGTTGAGGTGTTTCAGACTGTGTGTCCACATCAAGAATCAGAGTGAATGTAGGCGATGAATGATTAAATATTAAATTAGTTTATTTCATTTATGCATAGGTATGGAGCGAGGTGAACCAAGCTGTGCTGGACTATGAAAACAGGGAGTCAACGCCCAAACTGGCTAAACTCCTGAAGTTACTGCTGTGGGCGCAGAATGAGCTGGACCAGAAGAAGGTGAAATATCCCAAAATGACTGACCTTAGCACGGGCACCATTGAGGACCCCAAGTGAACATAACAGACAACCACCTTCCATGTCCCCTTAATTTATAATCAGTCAGTGACTGTGTGACAACCAGGTAACATATATGTATAAACAAATGCTACGTTGTTTTTTTTTTTTTTTTTTTTTTTTTTTCATGTTTCATTCATGAGAGTTAAGACTTAACTCATTGTGCAAACTGTAAATTGCTGTATTTGCAAATCGACAGATAAATACTAATCCTGGATTTTTAGATAGATCTCGGAGACAACAAAAAATTAAAATTGCTGTTTTATATTTTTCCTTTCTTAAGCCTAAGCCAGTTGTATTATTTATTGTGACCATTTTCCCCACCAAGACTTCATTTAGCCAGAAAGGGAGATAGTGGTATGAAAAAGTATTAATACTTTGCCGTGTGTGGAGTCAAAAGCTAAGCTCCCCTAAACCAAGAGGAGTTTGACTGTAAAGGTGTAATCTTTGAAACGCGATTGCCCTTTTTTCAGTGACGATATGTTTGGGTTGAGTGCACACACTGCAAGAAATAGGTTTTTAAATTATACATTTAATACACAAAATGCGAGTATTTTTCAATTAAATGGCAAGATACACTTTATTAATGCAATGGACTTTTAATTGATGTAATATTTTATGATTTCATTTTGTATTGTTTGCAGATTTGCTATAGAATCAGCAACTTGCTTTCTTCGCCTTGAAATCTGATTGTACCTTTTACAATACGTCTACGGGATGAACTGCCCTGCAAAATTATAATTTCACAAGTGCGTTTGAGAGGATGAAATATGTCCTGACTGACGGGTTGAAATCAGAGATGGCTTTCTGACTGAGTTTAGCCCCTCAAGGCCTTTTCTAAGCTACAGTATGCTCCGCCCTCAGCATGCGCCATGTGGTTATGTTTGTTTTGATGTTACAAAGCGTTGCAGTTAGGATCATGTTCTGCAAATCCCATTGATGCTTGAAAAAAAAAAATAAAAAAATCAGATCCTTCGGTCAAGAAATGCTAATAAATGGTGGGGCCAATTACAACAACTTTGAAAATTTAAAATCTTTTCATACTGGAATGAATTCTTTTGTTAATTGGCTTTGTTTTGGTAATAAATAACAATGATCAACAGCGACATTTAGAATCTGAACAGGCCTCACTGTTCATTTAGTCACTTTTAAAGCTGTTAGTATTTTTACTTTAACTGCATGCAAGTGTATCTTCTTTTTTTTAAATGGGAAAAGGCACTTGTGCTTGTTTGGTTTGTTTATATATATATATATATATATATATATATAAACTTGCTGCTAGTTGTCCATCCTTAATTTCTTTTAAGGTTGTCTTTATAAATATTGGCTTTGACGAATACTGAGTCCCAGAGAGCTCACATCCCTTTTATTATTCAACATTTTTAAGATCAGATTTGCAATTATTAAAATAAACAAAACTTTTGTGAACCATACAAGAGTTGTTATTCCATTTTCTGAGTTGAGTGTGCAAGTATGCAGATTTTATGGGCTGATGATGGTTTTAAAAACCAAATTCTTGAAACAACAAATACACTCTCTCTCACTCTGTTATTTATAGAGGCAATATGTAAATTTTGTACCCTGTAAAAGGTCAATCTTGCTAAACACAAGCCGGTGCAAATTTTTTGTAGTTTTGTTCAAACAAGTTTTACCTGTTTGGCCCCTCTACTTGAGGAAGTGAGATATAGCTGAAGCACCTCTGAGTGCCAGAGAGTTGCACTGATCACGGAGAAGACACCACTGTTGTCTGAATGGCTGAAAAGCACACATCAGGAGATAGGAATGGCTTGGATCCTAAGGTTTACACAGCCACAAATTCTACTGAAGAAGAGCAAGAAGACCAAAACCTGTGGCCCAGGTAAGAGTGCACAAGATTTTAGATTTAAAGTTTAGTTTATAGGCTGCACTGTCCTGCAGTTCCTAAAAAGTGTTGTGTTAATGTTTAACAACATATTGCCTTCTTATCATCACAGTCTAGGGGTGGCTGGATATGGGTAATAAACAGGATTAGGCTACTGTGGATAGATCAGGATAATTTAACATAATTACTCATGGATTTAGGAAACATCATGCATTTGTTGAACCTTTAAAATCTAATGTTTAATGTTTTTTAAATTATTATATAGATATTGCCCCAAAAATCCTAAATATCCCATCAGGTCAAGTATAGTAGCCTAATCCAACATTATCAACTTTAAACGGCATGTTAGAGCAGAGGAAAACAGCAATGCAGTGTTTCCCCCCAGGTGGACTGCTTGGGGGCGTATTGGGCTTGTGTGTGGAGGTGGGGTTTTAGCAGGTGACAGATAAACGACTTAGGTTGACATCAAGTCGTTACGAATTGAGCCGTGGTGTTCTGTCAGGAGATGCAGGGACTTTAAACAAATAATAGTATAAATAATATGTAATTTGTTAACCTATGCTTAGAGGAAAAAGTGTAAAGCTATTCTGCCCTAGGCTTAAGATAGTAATGTTGACTAACAAATTATAATAAGCCTAGTTAGCTAACCCACGTCATCTTTGCTCGAGTTAAAGATGCCACAGCCTGGAGTGTGAGTTTGGGCTTTTAGGCAGTGTGTGAACGATACCGTGGCTTTCAGGGGAGCTGGTGATTAAGGCTTATATTAATGGGTGTGGTGGGAGTAAGAAAGGGTGTTGGGCCGAAACCAAAAGGGGCAAGCGAGGAGCGACGAGAGGCTGTTTTCACGCAACCTATACCTAACCTATAATGAAGTAGAATGGAGTGAAGTTTATGATGTTGCACCACCAGGATTCGAAGGCGCGACGACAAGAATAGTATGCAGGCCGTGCATCAGTATCTTTTATTACAGTGAATTAGGTAAGTTTATTTGCAGCATTTACAATAATTATATTATTTGAAGGTCTACAGCAAATTAGTGATGAAATACCCACATGCATGAGTTTACTCATGATGATGAAGATGATCAGAAAAATGGAAATGCACTGCATAAATAGCATATTGTCAATAGCCTATTTTAGAGACCCCTCCAAAATTTCACAAATCACTCTTATAGGGGAGCAGGTGGCCTATAAGAGGAACCAATGTCTCCATGGCTCTTCTGTAGTTCGCACCCTGCTTTAAATGAAGACAAGACAAAACGAGAGCATCATTGAAACGCAATGCGACGCAATAATCGTTTTACCTCGATTATATTATTTCACTGATTTTGGCACAAACAATTCCCACTTACAAAACTGCTAATTCCATTGAAAATGAATAACATTTTCTTATTTAAAACAACCAGGGTTGATTATCTCAGGGTCTTCTGCATATTAGTTTATTAAGTTAAGTTAAGTATGTTTTTGTCACCACTGTCAGATGTCAACACCATCAGGTTTCATGTTAGACGGTGGTAACACATATGGTGTTGACAGAAACATCCAAATCATTCACAAAGGAGGCTTGAATACTATGTATGATCATAATAAATAGTAACATGGCTTGTAATGTTTCACTGACATCTATTTATACTACATCATTTCCCCTTTGTTTCTTCAACACATACTGTAGTTCTACAGTATTTTCTTACTATAATGCAATGTCTAAAAACATAAATTGTTCTTCTTAAGAAATTTCTCCTAATACACCCGACAGAACAGTTTGGGCTGACATACACCGCAAAAGAGAAGGACCAATTAATAGGCTACTGCCACCACCATCAGCTCTGTGTCACCACCGTCAGATGGATCTTTCTTTGTTTTAAATTTATATGGTACAATCTGTTACTACAATGCAGTTGATTTATTAAAGTCATGGTCACTGAAATTAAAAATGTGTTTTTTATGCCCCAAATTGTTATTTTGTATACTTAATGCTAATGAGAATGTAACGGACCACCGTCACTATGGTTGAGCATGCGCTGTGACAGCCATACCAACTAGCTCTGGCTCTTTGACGTTGTGGTCAAGTTCCATGTTTGGTACCGGGTACCAAATCCGGGTGGGGTGACTGCCCTTTCCGTCACAGAGAACATTGCATGATGTATAAGTTTGTAATAGAGTTCATGTGAAATAGTATAACAAAAGTTAATATTCAACATTTAATAACATATATGTACCTATGGTGTAGAAACAATGATTTTAAAGCTCTAAATCATTATAAGACTAACTGCAAACAGTTGTAAGGATGTATTTTCCTGGTTCACAGAGCAGCTAGCATGGCTGACTCTCCTTCTTCTTCTTGTTTTATTAACATTGACTACTCACCTGGTTACTGCTCTGTTGTTAGTTACAGTTATTTTGATCCATGTCATTAAGCAGAAACTGTTTCCCTTCATGCTCACAGACCTCTGTCTCAAAAATGGACCCTGACGCTGTTTATGGGCACCTGCCTCCTCTACTGTGCCAGGATGGCAATGCCAATCTGTGCAGTGTCAATGGCAACCTCTTTTCACTGGAGCAAGATCGATTCTGGCCTGGTTCTGGGTGGTTTCTTCTGGGGTTACTGTTTGACACAGATCCTGGGAGGACACACCAGTGACAAGTAAGCAGTTCAAATAGTCAAACAGAATAGCATGACTTCACACGGCTCTCCTTAAACAATGAGCTAGAAATTTCAAGGGAATATTTATTGTTGAATTAGGTTTAGAGTTTCAGGATTTAACTGTTTGTTCTTATATTAGAGTGGGAGGAGAGCGTGTCCTGTTCATATCTGCGGCCTCGTGGGCTCTGATCACAGCTGGCACTCCTCTTCTGGCCCAGATAGGCTCTCACACCCTCGCTCTCATGACTATGGCCAGGTTCCTTATGGGACTACTGCAGGGTGAGTATTGAACCAGTGACATTTCTATTCATATAAGCACTTAGAGGATTGGTTCAACATTTTGGGAAATACCCTTGTTCACTTTCTTGCAAAGAGTTAGATGAGAAGATGGTCACTACTCTCATGTCTGTACAATAAATATGAAGCCACAACTGGCAGCCGCTTAGTTTGCTTAGCATAAAGACTGGACACACAGGGAAAAAGCTAGCCTAGCTTTCTCCAAAGGTAACAAATCCACCTACCAACACCAACAGCTCACTAATTAACAGACACGAGAGCTTTTTAACAAAACCATGCTAGCTGTTTCCTCCGTTTCCAGTCCTTATGCTAAGCTAAGCTAACCAGCTGCTGGCTTTACATTTTTCATGTCATATATAGTGTGCAGACATGAAAGTCCAAACTATTTCTTTAAATAAATGTGCCAGTGCTGCAGGAAATATAAATGCATTCAATTTACCAACGGTGACTGATTACATGAATACTGTGTCTTATAATGCCTTACAGGCATTTTTTTCCCATCTTTGGCCAGCCTTTGCTCACAGCGTGTAGTGGAAGAACAGAGAGGGTTTATAATGAGCACCATGCACAGTGGTAGCTATCTTGGGTATGTTTCTCACACACACACCAATTCACAGATAAACACACGCTCTATCTCTGACAATACCTTTTTAATTTTGCTTTTTGTTGCTCTCTCAGAACATTGTTAGCTGGTGGGATGGGGTCCCTGATGCTGGACCTGTACGGCTGGGAAAGCATGTTCTACAGTATTGGTATCTTGTCCGGACTCTGGGCACTCTTTGTTTGGCTGTTTTTCTTAAAAGGTACAGTAACTACACCAGTCAGTCATGTATCGCTGAATAATGAAGTGACCATAGGTTGTCACTTTGCTGTCCTAAATGAAAAGTACAGCTAAATGACCGTGCCTCTGCTTTTAGCCACACTAGCGGCATAGGCCCACCACTTCAGTCCACACTGTATTTGTGGATGGATAGCCACGCTATTTTGTACAGTTATGGTCCCAAGAGGATGAATCCAATGACTTTGGACTTTTTTTTATCTAATCAGTTTATCAAGTGAAATACTTCAAGATACATTGCCACAAAATTTGGCACAGACATTCATGGTCCCCAGGGATGAAACCTATTCACTTTGGTGATCCCCTGACATTTCCTCTAGTGCCAACATGAGGTTGACACTTCTGGTTTTGAGTGAAATGTTTGAACAACTCTTGGATGGTTTACACATTCATGTTCCCCTCAGATCATATTGATGACCCCTTAGCTTTCTGTCCAATACTTTGATTTATGACCAAATACCTGCAAAACTAATGACATTCCCATCTGCCCCAGCTTTGTGTTTAGAGCTAATTAACAAATGTTGGCATGCTAACACGCTAAACTAAGATGGTGACCATGCTAAACAACATATCTGCTAAACATCAGCATGTTAGCATTGTCATTTTGAGCAGCTGAAGTCACAGAGCTGCTAGTGTGGCTGTGGACTCTTATTTGTACTGTGTTGCTAAATGATAAACACTGTGACATACAACAGTCTAATATAATAAACAATGTGTGGTTCAGGTTACGTTGCTCCCAAGCGGAAAGAAACAAGCAAAGACTCACAATGGAGTTTGTCAAGAACACGCTGGCAGAGTCTTTTGAAGAAGCCACCTATCTGGTACAGCTGTTCTTTAATCCTTCACCGTTTATCACTACATGGTTATTTGAGTTTTCAGCCTAACCCTACCTTTCTCTCTGTCTTTGTAATTTTCTTCCTAAGGGCCATGGTGTTTGCTCACATGTGCATATGCAGCACAAACTACACTTTATTGTCATGGTTGCCAACATACTTTAAAGAATCATTTCCACATGCCAAGGTATTTGTTTTCACCACTATATGTTAGCCAATAAACAGAACAGCTTAACTGTAACCTAGATTGTTCCATGTTGACACTTCAGGCTTTACACACATTCATGTCACTACCACATTGTTTAAATTCCGTAAGAAGACTGGTCAGTTTTTCCCCTGTCAACATGTCTATTTTTGCAGGAATGTGTATATAATGTAACTCCATGGCTAGTTGCAATTCCATCAGCATTTGGTGGAGGATATGTTTCAGATTTTCTTATCAGACAAGGTAACAAACAAGTCATTTTTCTTTTATTGTGGTATCTTTTTTTAGGTTAGTTACTATACTTGTTGAACTGATGTTAAAAATTATGTTTATTTTTTTTCTGTAGGATATCGTGTAGCGTCCGTTAGAAAGATAATGCAGGTAAGTGTGGAAAAACACGTTGTGATTGTACAATCATTCAGTGTGCACCATAGTTGTGTGATTAGAGAACAAGTGTGTTGTCTGTGTGGTGAAAGGTTTGTCCTGTCTAGCTGGTGGGGTGTTCATGTTGGAATTTTTCAAACATGTAATTACAGGCCTTAAAGTTCCCCCAGGGAAAAATATGTACAAGTACAGTGAACCATTGTTACATTTTGAGCTATGTTAAATGTATTCCTTTTGTAAGAAATAAATTAAAAAACAAAGTCATGTATGGTTCATGTATTGACTTATAGATTAATGATGTAAACAAACTGAATCAAACACTTGACTAAGTTTTTATACCCTTATTGGTCTGAATGAATACTAATCTCAATCTAATTGAGAGTGATAGTAAGTCCTGTGTTGTGAATACTACTTGCTATTTACTTTTAGATTGTGGACTGTGCCTTTTGTAAACATCTCATATGTCTTTCCATCCTCAGTTCTTTGCCATGGGTGTATCGAGTATTTTTATTATGCCTCTGTCTGGAGCGGTCACATTTACTTCTGCCGTGATTTGCGTCTCTGGTACCATCGGTTTGTCAACCTTCACCAGCAGGTATGTTAGATTATTAAAATGAGTTTGCCTGTGTGTTTAAACTGTTTAAACAACCTCAAGTATTGTTATGAAAGAAAGATGTGTGTGTGAAATTAAGCTAAGTCAATATTTAAAGGATAATACAGACATTATTTTATATTTCTGTTATTGCCAGTGTTTGAAGAAGTGAAATACCGCTATGGTAAAAATACTCTTAAAAAAGTCTTACAATGAAGATTTCATACGTACAACAGTATTAACAGCACAATGTACTTATGTATTAATAATTTCAGATAGTGTTTTAGATTAGAATATTATTACTGATGCTTTAATACGTAAGCAGCATTTTAATGTTTCAACTGATTGACGTGGAACTACTTTAAATACTGTTGGATATTTTAATCTATACATTAAAATACAGTATGTATATTTTATGAATTGATCCCATGTTTTATTTGTAAAATCTTAATCTGTAAAGTAACTTGTAGCTATAGCTGTCAGATAAATGTAGTGGAGTAAAATGTACAATATTTCCCTTCCCAAAAAGAAGTAGAAAGTAGCATAAAATTGAAATACTCAAGTAAATCCTAACCCAAAAAGCACCTGAGTAAATGTACTTAGTTACTTTCCACCACTGTTATTCATCAAATTCCAATCAAAAGACCAAAACTAATAATGCATTACTCCGTCTCTCAATACTTTCTGACTTCCCTACCCTCAATTCAACTTTTTTTATACAGAACTTTGCACACAGCACAAATGATTCAAAGTGCTTTACAGTAGAACAAAAAGAAAGGAGACAGGCATAAAAAAAACAATGTTGAAACCAGTACAATTGTGGTGGTGTACTTAAGCCTTCAGTGCCCTGCTCACGCTTTGCTTCTGGCACATGGCTCACCTACAGTGGGTACGGAAAGTATTCAGACCCCTTTAAATTTTTCACTCTTTGTTTCATTGCAGCCATTTTCCAAAAATCAAAAAAGTTCATTTTATTTCTCAGTAATGTACACTCAGCACCCCATCTTGACAGAAAAAAACAGAAATGTAGAAATTTTTGCAAATTTATTAAAAAAGAAAAACTGAAATATCACATGGTCATAAGTATTCAGACCCTTTGCCGTGACACTCATATTTAACTCAGGTGCTGTCTATTTCTTCTGATCATCCTTGAGATGGTTCTACACCTTCATTTGAGTCCAGCTGTGTTTGATTATACTGATTGGACTTGATTAGGAAAGCCACACACCTGTCTATATAAGACCTTACAGCTCACAGTGCATGTCAGAGCAAATGAGAATCATGAGGTCAAAGGAACTGCCTGAAGAGCTCAGAGACAGAATTGTGGCAAGGCACAGATCTGGCCAAGGTTACAAAAAAATTTCTGCTGCAGTTAAGGTTCCTAAGAGCACAGTGGCCTCCATAATCCTCAAAAGGAAGACGTTTGGGACGACCAGAACCCTTCCTAGAGCTGGCCGTCCGGCCAAACTGAGCTATCGGGGGAGAAGAGCCTTGGTGAGAGAGGTAAAGAAGAACCCAAAGGTCACTGTGGCTGAGCTCCAGAGATGCAGTCGGGAGATGGGAGAAAGTTGTAGTAAGTCAACCATCACTGCAGCAATCCACCAGTCGGGGCTTTATGGCAGAGTGGCCCGACGGAAGCCTCTCCTCCGTGCAAGACACATGAAAGCCCGCATGGAGTTTGCTAAAAAACACCTGAAGGACTCCAAGATGGTGATAAATAAGATCCTCTGGTCTGATGAGACCGAGATAGAACTTTTTGGCCTTAATTCTAAGCGGTATGTGTGGAGAAAACCAGGCACTGCTCATCACCTGTCCAATACAGTCTCAACAGTGAAGCATGGTGGTGGCAGCATCATGCTGTGGGGGTGTTTTTCAGCTGCAGGGACAGGACGACTGGTTGCAATCGAGGGAAAGATGAATGCGGCCAAGTACAGGGATATCCTGGACGAAAACCTTTTCCAGAGTGCTCTGGACCTCAGACTGGGCCGAAGGTTTACCTTCCAACAAGACAATGACCCTAAGCACACCGTTAAAATAACGAAGGAGTGGCTTCACAACAACTCCGTGGCTGTTCTTGAATGGCCCAGCCAGAGCCCTGACTTAAACCCAATTGAGCATCTCTGGAGAGACCTGAAAATGGCTGTCCACCAACGTTTACCATCCAACCTGACAGAACTGGAGAGGATCTGCAAGGAGGAATGGCAGAGGATACCCAAATCCAGATGTGAAAAACTTGTTGCATCTTTCCCAAAACGACTCATGGCTGTATTAGATCAAAAGGGTGCTTCTACTAAATACTGAGCAAAGGGTCTGAATACTTATGACCATGTGATATTTCAGTTTTTCTTTTTTAATAAATTTGCAAATATTTCTACATTTCTGTTTTTTTTTCTGTCAAGATGGGGTGCTGAGTGTACATTACTGAGAAATAAAATGAACTTTTTTGATTTTTGGAAAATGGCTGCAATGAAACAAAGAGTGAAAAATTTAAAGGGGTCTGAATACTTTCCGTACCCACTGTAAAAGCTATGCTGTCACTCACACCACCTCCTGCCCCGTCGTACACCACCTGTAGGCTCTGAGTCTACCTTCCCTCAGGTTGTATGTGAGTAATGTGGCTCTGAGCTTTGCGCTTCTTTGTGGAGAGTGAAGAGGTCAGAGCCTAGACAGAAAACGTTTAATGCTGTACATATTATACATTCACATATAATCGTGAATGTGAGCCATGTGAGTTTTCTTTTTAAAAACTGGTTCTTACTGAAGATGTATTTAAAAATACATAAATATCTAGGATCATCTTATTTATTTTATATTATAATTTTTAACATTACTCAAGCAGTAATAAATAGTGTTTATGCAGGGGACTGTTTTCAGCTGAGGATTAATACACATTTGGTGCTCTAGTAAGTATTTAGCAGGATAGTGCGTGTAGGATCGACTCAAAATAAACCACAATGCCCTTATTGTAATGAAGAAACATGTCACCCAATGCAACAGTGGGGCTCACTGATGAATAGGTTTTTTTGACCACAATCAAAAGATATATCAGGCTTTGGATACACGGATAACACTTGTCAGAAGGATTTACTTATTTTTTGTTTTGGTCTTTTCATTGGATGTACTGATAATAATACAAAGATAGAATTTCACCAGACTTATTCTTTATTTCCGGTCATATATGGTATAGTGTTGTGAATGAGTAATTCAGAGTTTTCCTGATTGGATGTGCTGTAGATTTAGCTGATTATGTAATGAGTCTCACTGTGTTTCAGTGGAGTGTCTGTGAATGTCCAGGATCTCACCCCATCATGTGCCGGTGCCATCTATGGTAAGTTTGTAGCAGCCCACATTTCAGTGTCATAAAACTGTGCTAATCTTAGTATTTGTAGATGTGACATTTAATCAGTGTTTCTTTTCTGCAACAGGTTTCATGAATATGTTGGGTGCTTTTATGGGTATGTTTCCAAAATGTTTATTAATTTAAATGTTTTATATAGGAACTGTATGTACTTACTAACTATTATATCTGGTACATGAAAAAGTAAATTCTCCGTTGTTACTACTGATCTCAGATTATCTCTCTTGTCATTTTCCCTGGTGCGTGAACAGGACTGGTGTTGGTCTCCGTGTCAGGTTACCTGATTGAGGTCACGCTGTCGTGGGCCACGGTGTTCTCCCTCATCACTTTAGTAAATGCCACCGGCCTTGGGATTTTTGTCATCTTTGGAGATGTTCGTCGGGTTGACCAGGATGATAACAGCCAGCCAATAATTGTGATTTGACCCAGACATTTTGTTGCAAATACCAGTCTGTATCTGATTTGTGAGACTGGACATTGCATGTAAATGTCTATCCAGATTTGATCACAATTTGTCAAAATGAGAGTTAATTTTTATTTATTCTTATTTAAATTGGCTGCAGAAAAAAAAACACACTGTACAGTATAGTGTACAGTATATATAGAAATGACTGAAGTGTTGGAGGGTATGAAGATGTTTTCTTTGTCATTGCTCTGACAAAGGATTCACAATTTTGCTGAAGTATTTGGAAATACTGCAGATCAGATTGCCTCTCTTGAAAATGAAGGTACCACCTTTTTTTGTTTTTGTGCAGTTGTCTCTCTGGATACACTGTCTGCTAAATGTGACTGCATTGTACAAATGTTTATGACTATTCATATTTAATGTAGAAAGTGTAATTTCCACAAAAATGTTTACATTAACAATAGCTACATGCAACATGCAAGCTGCTGGTGACTAAATCTAAAAACATGGAACATGTTAAGACAACAATATAGCCAAACTCTTATCAGGGCAAATTGAGATCTTCACCAAAGATATTTAAAATGAGCTCTGGTATATGTATTTATAATGAAAATAATATAAATATTTATTGAACTCTTTTAGAAAGTGTTTTTTGTGGCATTGTACAGTTTGGCTTTTGTAAACTGTCAAACTTTTGTACATACGTTTTTGATTCATCTAAATGTTAATGACATGGTTTATTCCCAAAAAGACTCTTTTTGACAGAAAATGTTTGTGTTTTTTTATGTGTGTTGCTTTAATCGAGTGAAATGTTTAAAATAATGAATTTGATTGTATTGATCCACCAAACTGTAGTTCAATCTGCTAAAAGCTGTCATCCATGTTTCTTAAAATTTCTTAATTTCCATTGAGTACTCTTAGATAACACTGGAAATCCATGGCACAAATAATTTATTGGTGTAGAAATACAACAGCCCTGAGATGGACTGGTGACCTGTCTGGGGTGTGCCCCGCCTTTTGCCCGATGTTGACTGGGTTTGGCTCCAGGATAAGCGGTTGACGATGAATGGATGGAGAAATACAACACATTACCAAGGAGTATGAACCACAAACCCATCATTTCCCATATAGCTGCATGTACTGTACATACAGAGATCACATTTGCTAAGAAGGAGATGTAGTAAAAAACTAAATAATGTTAAGGAATTACCAAATCATCAATACATGACATATGTACATTACTTGTACAAATAAAAAGAAATGAAAATTAGACATAACTTATAAAAAATCCCTTCCCCTTACCAAGTTAACAATAATTTACTTCCATTATTTTAGACTCTCAGACCATTTACACTGCCCTCTTTTTTGTTAACTTTGAGAGTCCAGTCAAACAAGTTCATACAATATCAATAACAGGGCAAAATACTGAATTAGACTAAAATATTATTCAAATATTTTTTATTATCTGAATAGCGTCCTCCACCGGCACCTGAACATCGGAGTGCTGGTTTACTGTAAAATAAATAACCTGAGTTAGGTCTTTCAAAAGGAGCAAATGCAATCATAAGTTATTCCTCTGCTAACAAATGTGATGAGGAAGGTTGAAACTCCTCAAACAGCAGCGTTATTATCAAGGTGGAGGTCACATTCATACAATGCAAACATGATACAGCAGAAACCTCCGGGTTTACTTTGGGGTATGTGGCCCACTGTATATACGCAGCAGTGTTTCTCCCACTTCCCACTCTACCCATAGACTTTACATTGTAATGATGTCACAGATTTTAAAAACACTTTTCTCTAGTTTTACCATTATAGTTTTACCGTTAGTTTTTATGCTCCATATATCTGGAACAAACTCCCAGAAAACTGCACTGCTGGAACTGTCAGTTCTTCTAAATCAAGACTTAAGACTTTTCTTTTTACCACTTCCTTTAATTAGATCAAATATAAGGCTGTGGATTAATGTTGTGCACATCACTGTGACTTTTACTGTCCTGTTTTACCCTGTTTCTATTTCCTATTTAACTCTTTAAACTGTATTTTACTCTGTTTTATTTTCTATTTCACCCTTTTAAAAATTATAATTGAATGTGGTTTTTTCTCAATATCCCTTTGTTGCTTTTATATTTTATGTAAAGCACTTTGAATTGCCTTGTTGTTGAAATGTGCTATACAAATAAACTTGCCTTGCCTTATAAAACCCCCATGGACCAAAAAATCCTAATAATATTTATAATCGACCATGTTTACAGTTTGAGTTGTTCTGTGAACAGTTTTACAGATGTTTCTTTTATAATGGTGGCCTCTGGGGAAAATGTTTTTTCAGGCGCAGGGGAATTTTTTGCTGCAATACATCAATGAAAAGAGAAGTTGCCATATTTGGACGACCATAATTTAGTGGATGAACATCATGCTGTATTGAAGAAGACTTAAAACTAGCAATTGAGACCAGAAAGTCATTAGGAAAGTGTTTACTGAGGTAATAAATCAGGTGAGCAATTGGGTCATTTTGTCATACACTTCCACAGAATGGGACTTATTTTTGCAACCAGTGTAGCCCCCTGCTGGCCATTAGAAAGAATGCAGGTTTAAGGCACTTCAGCAATGGCTTCACTTTTCAGACTCAGAGGTTCCCATTTGAGCAGAACCACAGATATTGTATTTTTTATTCCACACATATTCCTTCCCTGTCCTGGCGCCTACGTTATGTTACCCACAGCATCAAGCTGCTTGCATCAAGCAGAGGTGAGCTACAGAGGTCACTTCTTTCCAACTGCACACCTCCAGATTTTTTTCATTCTCAAACTTAGTCTTAAGCCCCAACACGTGTTGACTCAGGTGACATCACTTTATCAGATCTTGAGCAGCTTTCTCTGGAGACACAAAGGGATTTATACAACTTTTTCACACATGCAGTAGAGCTCCCCAAGACCTGTGCCTGAGTTCCCCTTTAAGGAGGACATCTTCCACTATTACAATAGTTTTTGCACAGAAATAATGCAATGGGGGAATCCCAAGTTAATAACAGAGGAGGAAGAAGTTATCCTACTTAAGTAAAAGTAACAATATTACAGTTCAAATGTTACTTAATAAAAGTAAATACTTTACTTACTAAAAGTACATTCTTAAAGTACTAAAAGTAAACATACTCATCATGCAGAATGGCTAATTTGAGAATAATGTGTATTATGTTATTGCATTATAGTTATTGATGCATTCATGTGTTCATCACTTTAATGCTGCAGTTGTTAAAGGTGGATCTTAATTTAATTACTTTATATACTGCTGGGTAGCTTGTGAATTTTCCCTCAGAGATCAATAAAGTCTATTTCTAACCTATAATAATACATCAGAAAGTATTTGTTGATTATATGTTGCATTATTAATCAACTAAATGTAGTAGTAGAAAGTAGGCTAGCAGAAAAATACATCACCTCAAAATAGTACCTAAGAGCAGTATTTGAGTAAATATAGGCTACTTAGTTCCTTTCCACCACAACTTAATGACCTATTGAGATTAAATTAGATGAGAAGGAGGCTGGCTCCTGTGCAGTGGAAAATGTCGGAGGGTCCGGTTTCAGCACCCCGGTCAGCGCATCTTGCAGCCAGCAGTCTTTTTCCGTCTGCAGAGATGAAAGAAAGTGCAATCTATAAACATGCTCTGCCAGGTAGGGGCAGCACTCAACGTTTGATAGCGAGGAGTGGATCCACGTCATGACGTTACTCAGCCTATGAGGAGCGGGGCATGAAAGCCGCACACAAATCAGGACGGGGGGCGCTTTTGATGTAGAGAAATGTTTAATATTAAAAAAAAATACCCCAAACAAACCGACGAATAGAAAGTCTGTTAGGTAACTTAACCTGAAGGGGTACTGGAGTGAAGCGCGTCTGGCACAAAGCCTGACTGGACATCATCAGCGGGCCTGTCAGTGTCTGCCTGCCTCAACCGATGCCAGCACTGTGGACGGTATTGTGTGGCCTGCTTTACCTCCATTTCTTTAAATCATATAGGCCTATCGCAGGGGAATTTTCCACTGAGGAGAATCTGCCCTGAAAATAATCAGCTGGTGTGTTGCGGAATGAAGGCACGCAGCTGCTGCACGCACTGGAGCTGGACTGAAGGAATTGGACAGTTAATTATGGCGTGACAAAAGGAGCTTCAGTAAATGGTTACCAACAAGGACAAGAAGAAGAAGCTTATTGTCTTATGTTCCATTTGCGTTAGAGTCTTTTTTTATTGGTGCAAAATACACATCTGAGGGCATTTTAAATAGGCCTAGCCTTGCACTGCGTTTATGGCGCGCAGGCCTATCGAGTCATTTATGTTTTGTGTGTTTCATCTTGTGACGGTCAAATGCTCATAAAGCTTCAACTTTCCTCGGTAAGGGACACGGATTGCCGCTCCTCGTGTTCACGGCGGACCTTGATTTATTAGCCATACAATTAAGGCACGCGGTGAATGCCAAGAGAGGAATCACACTCTCCAGCGTCCTGCATCATTTATGAAGATGGAGAGATTTAAACATCTGCAGACAGAGAGAGAGAGAGAGAGAGAGAGAGAGAGAGAGTACACCTGTCTGTGCTCAGGAACAAAGACTGCCTGTTTTCTTACCGCTCAGGACCAAAACATGACCAAACTATGTTGTTTTTCCTGCAGATTTTGTAATGTTTCCTTAAAGATTACAGTAAGACTGTCGCATAAATCACTGCTTCCGCATTTACAGAACTCTATATGGATAGATTGTGAAGGAGCTCCGCTCATTTGTAAAACTAGAATTCACATTTTGGAAAAAATGTAGCTGCAACTAGGCCTAATTATTGTATAGCCTATAGCCTTGATTTATTAATAGTCAGCATATAGTCCCAGGTTCCAGTTTACTGGGTCCAAGGTAATGAATAGAACTGAAAGGATTCGTCGATTAACCAATCTGTCAAACACACAAAATAACTTACAACAATTTTGATGAACAATTCATAGCTTCAGTCATTTTTTAAACAAAAATGCTCACAAGTTTCAGATTCCAGCTGCTAAAAATAGGAGGATTTGCTGCTATTCGTTCTCACAGGCCTATATCAAAGATAATAGTAGGCTATAGTCTGATTTTATATATATATATATATACATACATATACACAAATTTTGTACTTGAGTATTTCTATTTTATGTATTGTACTTTTTAGTCCACTACATTTGTCTAATAGCTTTACTTCTCAGATTTTCAGAAAATTACCAGTGGACAGATGTTATAAATCAAGGGAGTTGTATTGTACAAACTGTATTATTAAAATTGATCAACGGCATAAAATCATTCAGTCATAAAAAAAACTCCACAGATAACAGATAAGTATATCTTTAATAATGAGCATGTTCAAATCTAAGAATGTGATGGTGACCTCTGATACAATGAATATTTAATTCAGGGATGACTTAAAACTTTTTTTTGCATAAAATTTCTATATTCCAATACCAGTAATATAACTCTGATTGCTCCACAGTCATACTCCCTCTCTTTTCTTTCACTCTTGCATACACACAATACAGCAAGCATAAAAACAAAAGTCACAAACATATACCATATAGGCTAGTTAGTCTCTCGGTTTTCATACACTTGACAATAAATCAGTTAAGTATAATGCTACAGTTAAACATTTTGAGGCGATCTCAGTTAGAAATGCCAGTACATTAAAGCTTACATTTTTCTGAGGATGGCGTGGACAGGTTATAGCAATGAAAATGATGAGAATGTCAAGATTATAATTTTGTTAAGAAAGAACAAGAAACGAACAAACAAAAAAGTGACAAGCCTGGCTTGAATTTTTAAAAGCAGCAAGCATGCTACATTTCCTCCAGAATTTCGTAAACAGAGACCTCTGTTGGAACAGCAGGGAACGGAGGGAAATAAAAGTCACTGTAACAGTATATTTGTATTTCCATTATATTTGTATTTCCATTCTTTAAATAAAAAAAAAGAGAGGGACCACCTTTAAGACCGTTTAAGATCTCTACACATCTTTTCCCTGAATCTCTAGCTGAACATTTTGAGGTACAGTTCTGGGGGTGGGGGAAAAAAAAACAAACAAAAAAAACAACACATTTCATTTATACTAGTGCTGAAAAGAAATGTTAAGGCTCCACTCTGGAAGAGACACAATCCCACATTTTCTCCACTTTAATGCTAAATTTAAATCAGTTGTAAGCCAGGTGTGATACATCATTCAAAATATTTTTTCTAACATTTATGCTTTCTAATGTCACAACCTTGCACGATTAAGTCTACGCATACAGAAACTTTCAGTGTACACATTCCTCCACCAAAGTAAGACACCCCTCACATGAAAAAAAAGGGGGCATTAAAGAAGTTATTTTTCTTCTTCTCATAATATAAAACACAACTGGCCACACAAAGATAGCAGACATTTGTCAATAAAGTGTTGTTCACTCGTTAAGATTAACCAATACAAGCACTTAACATTTCTCCAACACACAAACCACAAAGTGAACAGTCACTGAATATCAGCAGCATGTTGTCAAGAGATTTTTCAAAAACAGACGTGCAGATATTTGTTACTTATATTTAGTTAAGAATGCAAGTTCCGGGGTAGCAATAGAGATTTATAAGGCTAAAAAATACAGAAAAAACAAG